ATACAATTGATACAACATTGATACAAATGATAACAATCAATTATACATATACAAATGTTGAACTTGATACAACATTAATACAAATTGCATTCATTAGTAAATTGTATTCATTGATACATATACATTCTTGTTACATATATACAACTATCCAGCACATATACTTTGCTACATAGATTTGTCCAGAAGAGGAGGAGGAGATGACGACATAAATTATATAGTATTTTAGAAGTTATTATAGTGTTTATAAACTAAAGTGTTTTTAGGGCATATGTATCTTCTTCTTTTTAATAAACACGAAATAGTAAAATTTTCATTTAAAATATATAGATCTTTTAACTTTTTTTCCTTTATAGCAACTAAAATTTTATGTCCATTGGAACAAGGTTTTTAGAAATCAAATCATGTATCACATTTGAGTACTTGTGCACAAAAGAAATTTCATTCGCAATTTTTTTATTAAATAAACTACAAAAACAAAAACTAACACTTAAAATAAAATGAAAATAAATTAAATACCGATCTGTTGAAAAGACAATTCATGTAGAAACTTGTTTAGGAGGATGCACTACCATTGACAGAGGGAATTCAAACACCCCAATATATGTGAAGGTTAATGCAATTAGTGCTTACTATTATATATGAAAATGTTATCAAAGATATATAAATATGATTTTCAATTCTAAAAATTAATGTATAAGTAAAACTATCGTATGTGTGTCGAGTTCAGAAATTGAATCATTTTTATTTCATTAGTTTTATTTGGCCCATGCTATGTTAGGGCCCAAATCAATAATAACTAAGAAATTCTTAGATATTTTAAAAGAAAGAATTTTGTTTTTTTAAAACATCAGTTTGACATTTTTTAAGGACTCCCAGAATATTAAAATACAAAATGGTTGTAACACCTCGTAACTCTACTCTTAGAATTCGAATCTTTTGTCGTAAGTATACAAGCTTGAACCGGGTGATGTCTTACTTATGCTTATGTTTTAGGGTTCATTCCTATCAATGTGAAGTGTATTAGAAGTGGTTAGGGTCATAAGAGACCTCTAGTAAGTCTAGTTCAAAACCTTCCTACCATCTCAAGTTTTTTGCATTTGTTCATACAAGGGTCAACTTCAAACGATTCTATTTCTCAGTATAGAATTAATTAGGTGGATCATGACCTATCAAATTAAAGATCTACGAGTGCTCTTTCTAAGGCCACTTGGTTTTCATCGTATGGAGTTTAGAGTAAAAGGTTTCTATAAATTATTTTAGCCTTTAAAACTACATTGAACTGATTTAGAATGATTTCTTTGATCATATACACCCCTAGGCCTTCGATTATGAAAATTCGCATGACATAAACTTCAACCTCCATACATGTTATTTTAGATATGACTTTTGAGCTTAGTCACATATATGATTCAGATAGATGAATATTATTTATCCTTATGAGCATTAATATGTATGTATGTTATTTTGCAAGGAATATTTAGTACTGAGAGGATGCGGGTTTGGAAAACCCAAGTCCCATAACTGCATGTCATCATAGTTTTTTAGTATACAACTTTGTCAGACAACTTCATTTGACCCTGAGAGGCTTAGATTAGTGGATCCACATATATGTATGATATGGTCTTATACTCTAGCAAGGTATAGGGCAAAGCTCCAAACTAGGTTAGTTGTTGGACATCATGAGCTCAAATGGTATATGTTAGTTATAAGAAACTCCCAAGTTTATGTAGCTTTTTAGGATATGCTCGTAACTTTATTTGATTCACTTTAAGTATGTTATTTACAACTATGATTATACAATGCTACAGAAATAGACTCATCTCTATATATGTTTTTGTAAGAATATTGTGAATGGTATTTAGACATGAACTCCAACTGTTTTCGCTTAGTTCATCATTAGATATATGATTTTGGGAATCTTATTTCACTGTCTTTGTTATGCCATTTTACGATTATGCTAGTGCCCCTAACTTACTCAATACATTTTACGTACAGACGCATACTTTTTTTCTACGTAGAATCCTTTTATGATGTAGATTCTGACGCCCGTTCTCAAACTCGTGGATAGTGAGGTTGCAACAGTTCCAACCAGCAATTGGTGAGTCCTCCTCATTTGGGTAGTTCCTGATTAGTTGTTAGTCATATTTTAATAGTTTCTTTGTTTATTTGGATCGAGGTAACTAGGGGCCCGGTTCTAGTAAACTTCTTTCCTTCCATTTGAATGTTAGAGGATTATTTCAGACATTAGTTGTAACAGTCATCATGGATTTATTAATTTCCATATTAAGACTTATTAAGCATATATTTATACTTCCACATTAGTTTCGTATGATTTGCTTTGAAATGTTATGCCAAGGGTTAGCTTGGGACCATTCATGTTCAACTGGGCCGAGTTCAACTGAGTTTAGGCTAATTCTGATAAGATGGGGCAAACATGAGTGTTGTGTCTAGACAAATGTCACACAATAGGGAAAACCTCAGCGAGGACGCTGGTTCCATAGAGGGGATGTATGTGACGTCCCATCTTAAGATAAAAAGTCCACATCAGCAAAACACATGTGATATGTTAGGTATATAAGTAACTATACCTTAACCACTAGTGACACTATATATATATATAAAACATGAACTCTCAAACATGAATGTTGAATTACTATAATATCCCCAATTACAAATACTCAATTTATTTTAATTATTTTATTTAATTATATTATATTAAAAGTAGATACCTTTACACACTAAAGGATTATGACTTTTTCGATGAGTTGTGACGTTTCCAAAGGATTGTGATACTTTCAAAGGGTTGTGACTTTACCAAAGAGTTGTGACTTTTTCAAAGGGTTATGACTTTTCTGATGAGTAGTGACTTTTTTGAAAGGTTGCACCTTTTCTGATAAGGTGCAATAAATACCTATTTGTACTACTATTTGTTAGCTATAAATAGAGGGGTTTCGTCTCACTTTTAAACTATGATTTTTTTTAAGGTTTTCTACTCTTCTTCTTAAAATATCCAAACTGTTATTTGCAATAGTTGATTAAGTCCCAAATTCAACGAAATTGGAGGTACCACATAAGAAAGAGTTGGTGAACAAATTGTAACAAATCATTCATCAATTCACTCAAATTTTCCTCTTACAATTTTCATCACATACATATTCAATATTATTTATATCATTTTAGAACATTAATACCCTTTTAATTAACCTACATATTTTATTTATTAAAAAGACTAATTTCCTACGAATAGTCACAACAATTTCTACCTTCATGTTTCTTTGGTCATAAATCGCAACCATTCACTCCTTATAAATTCTTGGGGATCTCTTTTCTGTGACAATTTGAGATCATTTAAAATTTGCATATATGATTCATCCCAATCCATTGATATGTTTCACCGAAGTTCTTAGCTGTGGAATTTAGCTATTAACTTTCTATTAAAGAAGAAAAGAAGAGAACACAGAAATGTGCAATTATCTATGAACTTTGCTTCACACAGAAAAATTCTGTATATAGTGCGTAGGAATTTTCATTTCTTTTTCTTGTTTTGTTTCTTTAATTAATTTCTTTCGTATTTTCATTCAACAGAGAATTCAATAATTAGTGTTCACATAATGATCGAACAATAACGAATACACATTGTGAATTATTTTTCTAATAAAATAAAGAGATCAAGTTGTGAGAGAGACAATAACAATATGTGATATACGATATGTGATGTGCTATATGCAATACGCGCTATGTGATATGCTATATGCAATACGCGATAAGCAACATGCAATATGCAAAGGGTGTACATCACCATGTTGGTTCAGGTTTTTCAAATATTAAATCAAACCATTTGTGTCGAATTTTTTAATTTATAAACCAAACCAACTAATAAGGCTAGGGTTTTTTTCGAGTTTTTCAACCTCAAGTTTTTTTGGGTTGGTTTGGGTTTTTCAAATATCAAACCAAACCATTTGTGTCAAATTTTTAAATTCATAAATCAAACTAAACTAATAAACCTTGGATGTTTTTGGATTTTTCAGTTAAGTATTCATACAAACATATAATTAATTTGTGCTCCAAATATTTCTTTAGTACAATCAAAATACAACTATCTCAGGTATTTCTTAAGAAAATAACACAAAATATGAGATTAGTTATGACAGTAAAAGGGTGTACATGATCGGGTTGGTTTGGAGTTTTTCAAATATTAAATCAAACCATTTGTGTCGAATTTTTCAATTTATTAACCAAACCAACTAATAAAGCTAGGTTTTTTTTCGAGTTTTTCAACCTCGAGTTTTTTTGGGTTGGTTTGGGTTTTTCAAATATCAAACCAAACATTTGTGTCAAATTTTTAAATCTATAAATCAAACTAAACTAATAAACCTTGGATGTTTTTGGAATTTTCAGTTAATTATTCATACAAACATATAATTAACTTGTGCTCCAAATTTTTCTTTAGTCCAATCAAAATACAACTATCTAAGATATTTCTTAAGAAAATAACACAAAATATGAGATTAGTTATGACACTAAAATATTCAACAAAAAATAATAATGAAATCGTATAAAATAATTATTGCAAATTGATAAGTCATAATGAAAATGATCATAACTTAAAAGTACTAAATCATGCTAAAATAAGTCAAATAAGTATTAATTACATTATTAAACACTAAAGAAAAAAAATTAAAATCAGGTTATCTATTTTAAATGTCTAAATAAATGTAAAACTAAAGAACAAATATTCAACATTATTGTCATTCTTAGTGTTGAATTAATATTTTTGGTTAGCATTAGTATTGATTTGATTTTAAATTGAGCTTTATTAGAATTACTAATATCATGGTAACCTTTATTGGACCATTCAAAATTTCAAGTCTCAAAAACTCGAAAAAATATGTTAAAAGATAAAAATCATGAAAAAGTATAAGTAATATTTTGAAATTATATCAAAGTAAATACTTTTATGTATAAAATAAATGTTAAAACTATAAAAATAATGCCGGGTTGGTTTGGTCTCGAGTTGACTTTTTTTAGTTAAAATTAAACCAACCCAAGTATAGTCCGATTTTTTTCCAATACTAAATCAAGTCAAACAAAACCATTAGTTGGGTTTTTTCGGTTAGACTCGGTTGCGGTTTGATTCAGTTTTCAGTTCGGTTTTGTATACCCCTAGCGATATGCTATATGCGACATGCGATATGCGCTATGCGATATGCTATATGCGTTATGCGATATGCAATATGCTATATGCGATACGCGATATATGATATGTGATATGCGATATGCGATATTGAGGAGAGAGAAGAAGATTCTTTTTTAGAGAGTAAAATAGAGAATTGGGTTGGAGTTGGTTGAAAATAGAGAACTCTATATTTGGACAGTAAAATAGAGAAGAGGGTTGAAGATGTCCTTAGGCTGTATAGAATGAAGATTTCACAATGAAATGTAGCTAAGAAATAGAAAATGAAGATTCAAGAATAGAGAACAGATTTTAAAGAGCCACATTTTGCGTACGGATGTTGTTCATAGTTAGGGTCCTCTAATATCTGAAGAAATTAATCTAACTGATCATAGAGTTGCACTTTACAGTTAGGATCTTCTACCAACTGAAGAAACTAATTTAACTAGTTTTTGAACAAGCACTGCCCCAACTCTACACATTGAAGTCATGCTATTGGAAGATGAACTATAATATTTCATTGACTGAGAGATGGCCATGGAAACTAATTTGGAAGGTGAAATGTCCATTGAAAGTCACGTGTTTTGTTTGGCTATTGATTAGGAAAGCATGCCTTACTCATGAAGCTTTACAGAAAAGAGGCTAACATATATGTTCGAGATGCTTTATGTGTGAACAAGAAGATGAGGTAAACAATCATCTGTTTATTCACTGTCAAACAGCTGCAAGGTTGTGGATACGTTTCTGTGCATTCTGGGGATTAGCTGGGCGACGCCAAAGACTAATGTGGAGGTCCCGAATAGCTGGCCAGGAGTTGGAAGTAGAGGCAAGAAAGAATGGCCACGTATGTAAATCTTATGGTTTATAGTGAATGCACAGACAGCACATATAACATATGATTTGATTTCCCAGAACAAACTTAAAATAGTTCACCAGAAAAGGTAGGTAGTCTCACATACCGTTTCAGGTTCTTCTAGAAGAAGCCTTCGAGAACAAGCATAGCAACTGCCACAGTGTTTTCCATAATCACCAACCCCTAAGCCAAAAACATCAACTAGTTTTTAGACACAACTTTCCTGTACTGTTAACTTAAACTAAATAATATCCTAGATGGAATTAATGTCAACAGAAAAGGCAGAAAATTTGAAATATATCTTTGAAACAGAGAAAATTAGAAAATTTGAAATATTGGCAACCATTATTCATGGGAAAGAGTAAATTTGGAAGTTAGTTTCTTAGTTTTAAATTACTAAACAGAGTTTATAGTACAAGCTCTGAGTTGATCTACCACAAACAAAATTTTGAAACAGGAAAAGACATGTAAATGTAAGTTAAAACAAATGACTCATCATGCGCACAAGATTTGCAATCGCCTAATCAAAGTAAAACATAATTGTGCACAAACCTCATCATAATTGAGATGGTAGTCTCCCAACTACTTATCAGCCCATTTTGAAATTGGCAACAAGAAAGACTGCAAGAAAGTCAACTCTTGGAATCCCCTTTCCCTTTCAACTCTACAATGCAAACTCTTCAAGTGCATTCTCTCTTGCGGTCACCTTTGTTCCTTTAATGGTATTTTTTTTAACTGTTCAATGACATATTGCAAGATCATTTGCTCTCCCGTGATGACAAACTGCAACAACACAAGGGGCATATATCGAAATAGGACAATCACGCACCAACAATAAGCAAAGAGGAATGATGGGGGGATCAGCTTCAATCAAGTAACCAAATTTGAAATAAGGGTAGGTAACCAAGTAAAAAGAAATTGATGCAACATGTCAAGAATTTATTTACAAACAGTTAACAAAAGAAGATGGAAGCAATTGCCTAACAGCCAATTGCTTATTGGGATAAAAGAATTTACTTAAATTTGCAGAAGTTAAATAATGTGGATCGAGGAGAGGATGAGGGTTTTGTATTCCAAAAAACCAATTTTCAGTCCATAGTGAAGTTAAGGCAGTTATAAATTATAATTAGACTATAAATAGCACATTTGATTCGACAAAGGTCAAATTTCTAAGTTGAACAACACGCAGAGAAAAATAGGACCTGAAGAATAAGACTGGACAAAAAACATTATTTTTCCTTAAATAAAACACATTTAAAATAATCACCTTAATTCAGCTAGATTAGGTTACAACTGTAAGTGACTAATCACAATCTTATAGGTAGTAGGCAGGCTACACACTCTTCAGTTAAGTTAAACCGAGGTTATTTCAAAATGATGGGTAATTTGGTCTTCTTTGGTAGCTTCAACAGGATTGTTGATATCTGTATTAATAAATGCATAATACCTGAGTAGTCAGAAAACATAGTGTATGGTATTTTCCATACAACCTATTGTTAATTGTGAATGGTAAAATTGCTATCAAATTATTAAAATTCCGGTTGCTATAAGTACCACAAACGGAGTGCAGATCGGCAACTAAGTAGGGAGCAGCAAGAACAACCTCACATTTGATGCATCATTAGTTTTACATAAGGATGAAGCATCTAAAATGGCCACTCAATACTCAAGGACATTCAAACAAATGAGAAACTGAAGTGATGACCACTTTTGATCACCCCCAGATTCATTTTATGCGAAAAAAGTAAACTGACATTGAATGTTAGCATCGGCCAAAAAGTACTCCAAGAGGACATCAGCAAACCTAACTAACATAAAAAGAACAAAGCCTTCCAAATCTTTTAGTAACTCAGTCAACGAAACACGATTTTCCTGGTACTTCAAACTAGATTCAAGAAATTTCAGTTTCTTTTCTAAATAGGAAATTGCAGGCTATGCCACATATTGCAAAGAGCTTGTGGTCCATCACCACTCAAATAATTGATAAAGAAGTAAAATCTAGTCCAAACATTTGATATACCATCAGCAGGTTATTAGTCAAGCAAATGCTAGTAATGTTTTAAGCAACTCTGACTAGAAACCAGTATTTATTTATTTTTGCCATTTTATACCTGTCGAAATAATAACCAAGCATAGCACATGTAGTGGATGGTTTCTGTGATTCCCAAAATACGCCATATGGACTTGAAGAAGCTCCAAAATTTCTTTAACATCCTGGTTGGAAAAGATGAAGTTCATAATTGATCATTCAAACCTATAAATCGATTTCCTAAGGAATGTACTCACATAACATCATTCATTGCACTACTGTTCAGGATTTTACTATTATACAAAGAGAATAGGTTATTTTGTTCATATAAAAAAACTGGACCTCAATCCTGAGCAAGTAGGGCTCGCCAATATGAATCCTCACTGATCATAATTCATACAGTTCCATTTTAAGCTCCTTAGACCCATATTATTTATAATAATTAAATAATAATAAGCTCTAGAAGTTCTATATATTTTCGAAATGCATATAAATCTCATATAAGACTAAAGGACTCCCACAAAACACAAGAGCTAAATTACTACTAACATGACTAAAACATAGTCCCAACTAAATAAACCTTTTCTATTGTGACCTATTATTCACTATGTCTACATGAATTCCAACATAGGTTTTTCGAGACAATTTCCTTCCATGTGATTTTGTGGCTCATGCCCTTTTAACACCTTCACTCATCATGTCCCTCAATTACAAACATAAGTACTCAACATACCAAAGACTGTAAATCAAATGACCCTTAAGAATATTGCTAGATTCATAAATTAGCAACTGAACTAACAGAAAGGAACAAGGGGAAATTAATACGGAAAAGGCCAACTCAGCGTCAAATAGGATTATCAAACCTCAAGCAGAAAGGGCTGAAAGCGGAACAAATAAGCTATGAATGAACAGACCAGTTATGCTACTGATTCACAGCCAACAATCAATCAAAATACGCCCAAAATCTCATCATTTAAACACTTTAACAGCTAAGGATCGAGCAAGCAATCGATGCATCAAGAAATTAAAAAAAAAAAATAAGAACGGGAATGGAGATTACCTTTCTGGATGCATGCAGCGGACTGAGACAATGAACTTTGAGGCAACTAACTCACCACCAACGGAATCTCGCCGGAAATGCCTTCAAATTCGACCAACCAAGACTTGTAAACTTTTACTTCTAAATTAACTAAGATGTTATAGGGATTTTCCCCTTTCTAAACTTATAGTATTAGAGGATGAAATTGTTGTTCTTGGAATAAGAAATTTGTGCCTTAGTCAGTGTAAAAAAATCTCCAGGAGAGGATTTGGGGCAGAAATTAGGGGGGAAACGGGTGAAGAATTGGGTGAATTTCAAATTTGAAATTTGAAATTTTCTTGGAGGACTGACTCGATTCTCAACGGATTTGAATGGAGGATATTGATTTTTGAGAAAATGAGGAAGCAAGCGCGAAATAGCTCCACCTGGATTTAATTTGAAATATACTTTTAAAACAGAGAGAGGAAGAGAACACGCGCGAGGCTGCCGCGCGATTTTGTTTCTGGGTCTCGCTGGGTTGAAGGAGAAGAACGCACGGGGGTCGGGGTCGGGGTCGTTCACGCGCTGCTGTTTTGTTTGGATCGTTGTATGTATTGCATTGTTTGGGCTGGACTGGGTATGGAATTGGTAGATTGGGCTGCTGAAAAGAGGCAAAAAGGCCCAAAATTTTTTGGTCTTTTAATGGGTTCAATGTAGGGGAATTTTCACATATAGCCACTCAAAAATAGTCTAATTAATCTCCATAGCTATAGTTTGATAATTACAATTCGTAGCTACATGTTATATGGAGGAGAGAGGCGAGCGAGACTGGGAGAGAGAGGGGGCAAAGAGTGGGAGAAAGGTGAATTGTATATGTATATAGGTTAGATAATTGTATATTATACATATTTATTTGTATATATGGAAAGCGAGATTGGGAGAGGGAGGAGAGAGGC